CCTTGATTGTTTGATGTATTGGACCACTCTACTGTTTTCCGAAGACCTTCTTCCAAGTAAAAACCATCCTCCTAGATACACTTTACTGAATGTGGGTATTTCACTTGACTTCTCTTTGTTGATTAGAAAACACCCTTTTTGGTAATATAGCTGCTTTCAAATATTCGGCTTTGAGCGTTCCTGATGAAGGTAAATTCAGAAAAGCGCTTCGGACGCATAAAATTTATAACGTGTTGTTTTCATTTTTTTGTGAAGTCAGTAGATCTAAACATTTTCTCCGATCTTGCTTTTAGTGGAGACTATGAAGGTGGTCCAAAAGGAAGGACTACTAGCACTGATTTTGGACGCAAAATGTGAGATGCTTGCGATGTTGTTGACAAAGGCTGGACAAGTAAATAAACGTCGCTTAGTTTCATTGAAATGGTTTAGTCTCTAATACTTTTGTTAGAGTGTCCATTTTGCAATGTATTTTCTTGAAGGGTCTTAAATTCATTACTGATCTCATTTTTGATTATTTTAGGGAACCAGTACCAATGTAATGTAAAAACCTACTGATGTTGGTATATCTGGCTGAATCTGATAAATGATTTCATTTAAGTCTTAGTCGGATACAGTTTTCCTCGGGGATCCGAAAAGAACAATAAGTTATATCAGCTTACTTTTATCTGTCTTATTTCATAATCATTAGCTAATAGAAATTACGAAAAATATATCTGACAATTAATTAAATCTATTAAAACCAAACTTAGATCACTGGCTATATCAAGTACTTAAATTGTTACTATAAGCAGTATAGGTGCTATAGTTCTAGAAACTTTAATTTTTCAATTTTCATAACGTACTACAGCACTAGAGGTACCATTTCTTTTATTTATAGTATACTCTTAAGAAATCGTCCAGTTGTTTACGTTATTCTTTAAGTTTATCGAGTTTGTCCTCCAATCTTGTTATAAACTGTCTCACTAGATGTAGCACTTTGTAAATACAATTGTTTCACTAACCACGCCACTTTTATGGAGATATTTTATATTCATATATATGTTGTTGTGTTTACCTTCTGGTTCCCAGATATGATCTCCATGTTTCATCTCGAAAGACACACAACGTGAAAATTTCACCAGTATAAATATTTTTGGATAGCGGACACATTAGGTTCTGAGGAAGACTCAAAGTAAAGGAAGGGGTAGTGTAGAATTTTAGAATAAGTTTAAACTCTAAGAAGTTCAAGGCATATACATGTTGAAAATATGCCGCACAACCCTATGTTTTGACCATTGCAAACAATAGAAGTGCATAATAACTTTCCATTTTAGGATATGATTTATTACGAAACTTCATAGTAAAAGTAGCACAGATTTAGCCATCAAAGAAGTTTCTAAATTGCATTGTCTATATTTACAGAAGTGTAACCTATAAAGGGATGAATACAGTTGTCGTGTTTATCTTTCAAATTTTTCAAACCAGACTCTGAAGCTGCAGCATTTCATAGTGTCATGTGATGAATAGCACCGGGATGTCTGAACGAAATAGCACATAAATCTTAAACTAATTGTAAAGTTTCATTACTAACATGTACATTATCAAAACTAGCTAACAAGGTTGATAAAGCTTGTTGTATATAACAACATTGATATCATACCCACGTAAGCAGCTATCTGACCTTGAAAAGCTGAAGTCATCCAACTTTGTTTTTTTTTAAGGTTGGGAAAACAATTGTTCTATTTATTTACTGACTAAACTGATTTTGCCCCATGTTAAGTTCTATTCATTTGTTCTAATAAATCGTCCACAAACGGAACTTGAAACAGCTGATAGATTTCTCATTTTAAAAATTTCGACATTCATTCTTAAGTTCTGTCCATTTTTCATGAGCCTTACTTCTCATTGAAAATTTAACATTCTTACATGATTTATTTAATTTTAGAAACGGAATATTCTTCTATAGTCCTGGATGGTGATGACCCGTCCCAAAATAAATGTTAACATCTGTTATACAATTAAAGCATCGAGGAATTAAATAATAGTTTGGTAGAAAAAAGTTCACAATATGTAATTGTGTACCGAAAAAAACCCAACGTTTATAGTTGCAGTAAAGAATAAAACACAATATCAATGCAATAATAATTGCTTTCAATTAAGATAAAGCTAATCAACACACAGAAACTATTGGAGATTTTGAGCGAATATTTATAACATGAAATAAAATATCATATCTATGAATATTTCTCAGTAAATGGATTATACAAAAACAGTGAAGTAGTGTGGAATTTAGTGGTTGTCGTTGTTGATTTCTGTCATATTTGCTTCCGTTCTTTGTTTTTATTTTACCATAAATCAGTCAGCTATTTTCCCTTACTTAAATTGTTTCACATTTTGTAATGACGGTGCCTTGGTTAGCTTTCTTTACGGTATCAGTTTTACTTATATTTAATATATGGTGAACTAGAATGTATATGTGTTTACATCATTTTCCGTCGGTCTATGATTGGTAGTTGTCTCATTGGCAATCGTACCACATCTCCATATATTTATACAGATTATTATTTCCTTGAACCTGATTATCATTGTATTTGGAAATAGAAAGGAGATAACAGGAATTGAAATACATGTATACAGTATGTTCAATGGTGTGAATATGTCCTTTGATTGAGTTAAGCTATTTCAGTTGATATGTTATAGTGTGTTTTTCTATGTTGTGATGTTACACTATTGTTTCAGAAAAAGGGTAAAGGTTTGGTACCATTAAAACGTTTAAACCCGCTGCATTTATTTGCACCTGTCCTAAGTCAGGAATCGGATGTTCAGTAGTTGTCGTTTGTTGATGTGGTTCATAAGTGTTTCTCGTTTCTCGTTTTTTATATAGATTAGACCGTTTGTTTTCCCGTTTGAATGGTTTTACACTAGTAATTTTTTGGGCCATTTATAGCTTGCTGTTCGGTGTGAGCCAAGGCTCCGTGTTGAAGACCGTACTTTGACCTATAATGGTTTACTTTTATAAATTTTGACTTGGATGGAGAGTTGTCTCATTGGCACTCATACCACATCTTCTTATATCTATACACTTTTCACAATAATACATTTTTGAACAAAACTGTAATAATAGAGTAAACATGTACAGCACTAAAACTCTATCTCTGAGAAAATCATCTTGGAGAAAACATGTTATTCTTTTAAATTATTCCTTCCACTCCAAATCTCTGATATATTTTCAACGTTATCATATATCGGACGTTTTTTATTTTCACTAATGACTATTTCAATATCTACATATTCTTAGATTTCCAAAACACGGTGTAAAATTCGCTTTTCTTTTACCCTTCATTTTCTCACAATAAATAAAAATTACAGTCAAACAAAATAATCCATCAATCTATGTAATATATAACATAAGTTTTACACTTAAATTTGTACACGTATGTCTGGTATATCTTTCACTTTAAATAGGTCAAAGTTGTCTTCCTGGTATAAACAATGATATGAATCACATCTACACTGCACGTAAAGTGTTAATCGAGAGAACTGGTGATTGACGGGCTAGTGATTTTCGGCATTAAACTGCTTAAGATATTTTCTCACAGTTAACGTGATACTCAACTTTGATTAAGTAAAATAAATGTTGTACATGCCGATTGTATTCCAGTTTTCATTTTAATGACAGGTTGTATTGTAAAGCAAAATTTTGTCCTAAGAAACGTTGTCCCCCAAGACAATTTTTTATGACTTTTTATCATGACATTTTGTCCGTACCTATGATATAATGTCCAGAGAAGGATAAATTTCCATATGCAAAATTGGTCATATACAGACAATATTTAATAGATGAATAAAATAAAATTTTCACAGTAAAATATTGCCATGGACAGTATTTCATAGTAAAATATTGTCTAGAAGGAGCTGAAAAAATTTCGTGGACAAGGACACTATTTCATAATTAAATATTTGATATGAAATTTTGTCTGGTTATTTCATGTTACAATATAACAAAGTGTTCTCTTTATAAACATAAATATACAATATCTACTGTCTACTGTATATGACGTTAATCGTGCAACCAGCCATCTGACAATACTAATATATGTATGCAAATACTTGCAAGCGTATGCGATAATCTTACAATATTCAAATATCGTCTCCAGGTGCCATGTTGTTGTTATGAATGAAAGGCGGTATTCACATAATTGTTTGCAAGCAGTCAATTTTGTGTTCCTTTCGCAGTCCGCGTCCAAGTATTGCCAAACTCTTAAAATACCAAAGACAACGACTGGATTATGCGCGTTACGCCTACACAAGACGCAGGACAGGATAGAAGTTCTGCAAGCCTCGTCCCTGTGTTCTTCCTATTTCTAGAGCTTGTACAAATCCGACAATGCACTCATAGTGTTTATGTATCCAATTGGTTTAAAGTAATTCCCAGTATATTGTATTATACTGTATTTTTTATTCTATATATATAACGACAGATGGATGAAGCACGGGAAATTTGGACTGCCACTTAAATACAATTGAATGTTGGATTGGGGTAGAATATTTGCCTTGCATTAGGATGCATACGGACTCCTCAAAGAGTTGTTGGCAGTGTTCATTAATTTGCAACAGTTGTAACACTCTCACTACACGAGGTACCGGATTTAACGTTCCTTTTCTGACAGGACGTGGCTGCGAATTTATATATCTCGAACAGCTAAACAGACGCCCAATTTTTGCAAGGATTTTACTGCCAGTCGAAAAAAACTAAAGTTACCATATTCATATACCCAAGTCACCAATGATATAATTTTTGCTTTGATATACGGATACTTTTTTTGGTAACTTATTCATCCTGTTTTGCATGTTGATAAGTGCTCATCGAAAACAAAGTTTAACTACAATCGTGCAATGAATGTAGCATGTGTAGGACATTTACTAGCTCGTTCCTATATAATATCAGCATAGGAATAAAATATCGGTTGTGAATCGTTTTACCGATTACCCTTGTTTACATCGTGTTTAGTAGGTTACAACAATGGTTTTACTTCCCTGTCTATATTTTATAGGTAGAATTACAACCGGATTGTTTATTTGTGTATCTTTCAAATATGGTAAGTTTATTTTTTTTTTCGTAAAAGGGTACGTTTGATTTTAATCAGGAAAACTAAAAACTACCAAGTTTAATGAAGTTTCTTTTCTCCCCTTTTCTTTTATTCAACTTTTGTTTTCCAATGAATTGTCCAAGCATGATTTTTTTTTTCTAACCTATGGGTTCATTTTTTCAGTTTACATGTAACAATATTAATCTAAAGCTTTTTGATCTTTTTTCCCTGCCAAACTTTTCAGTAAATTCTAATTCTCTTTTCAAAATGCATGAGTTATTTTTTCAAAATATATAAATAATAATTGATATGATTTAATATGTTGATCCGGTTTCTTTTCAAAGACATTTGGTAATTATATACTTAATGTGTCATGCGCTCTAATATGGCATTACAAAACTTTTAATACAATCTTCAGTTAAATGAACAAAGATACATTATCTAACATTCTTTTTAAAGTCGACCTTCTTCCAAGAACACAGTTTTGACTTGTAAAATAGTTTAAAATAGTAGCAGTACATCCTGAATAGTTTTGAGAAGCTTCGATGGAAATTACTTGTTTATACATATACATGGATATTCATATTTTCTAATAGTGTAGATAATGAAACCAGATCCCAATAATGGATAGTGTGGACAATGTGGAAGAAAATTATGACCAAGCCACTCGGAAAGGTTCTAAATCTGATGCCTTAGAAGATATTCATGACTTAAAAGAGAAATTGGAAAAGAACAATCATTTCGTTACTGAAGTCAGTAACAAAAATGAAATTCTTCGCAACGAGAATAAGAAGTTAAAGGAGGAAAGGGCTGTTTTAGTAAAGGAAAAAGATGAGGCTTTATCAAGGTTCATTATTGTATTGTGTCGTATAATAATATGTATTCTTTGGACGTGAATGACGTTTGTTTGTCCTCAGAAAAGGTTACACCCCATTAGCGAGTATTTCTTGAGGTTTTTTGTTGAATTAAAATTAGTAAAAGAGGGACGAAAGATACCAGAGGGACAGTCAAACTCATAGATCGAAAACAAACTGACAACGCCATGGCCAAAAATAAAAAGACAAACAGACAAATAATAGTACAGATGACACAACATAGAAAACTAAAGACTAAGCAACACGAACCCCACCAAAAACTGGGGGTGATCTCAGGTGCTCCGGAAGGGTAAGCAGATCCTGCTCCACATGTGGCACCCGTCGTGTTATTACAAATCCGATAAATAGTCTAATTCGGTAAGTCACATTCGTGAAAAGAGAAGGGTATTGTAGTTACGACATAAGGAACATATCCGATATCATCTGTGAAACGGTTATTCCATAACGGTCAACCAACTCGTGATGGCGTCCGTAAAATTTACGAAGGGATGATTTCAACTTCACCATTTGGAACTCTTGGTTTAATAGCTTCCTTGTGAGCAGCAATCTTCTATCAAGGAAATAATTATAAAATTTGGAAATCATTTTAAAATTAAGAAATGTATTCCCGTTATGCAATGCTCTGATTTCTTGTCCGAATTTGGATTTACCTTATGGTCTCTTTTGGTTTTACATACTCTTCAGTGTTTCATTTCTGATTTTGATTTTCAAATATTTTGACCTCGAGCATCGCAAAAGACAGAAATTGTCGAAATGCGCATCTGGTGCAGAAAAAATGGTATCATTAAAGTTATTACTTAAACATGGTAAAAGTTTATATGGTACATGATTGTATCGTTTCGTCCTAGTCAATATCTCTTCGGATATACGTATAATAAAATCATCATAGATACCAGGCTCAAAATCTTGTACGCCAGACGAGCGTTTCGTCTACATAAGACTCATCAGTGACGCTCGAATCAAAAAAGTTAAAAAGGCTAAATACAGTACGAAGTTGAAGAGCATTGAGAATATCTTAAACCTTAAACATTAATAGTAGATGTACAATTCCCCTGTGTCTAAAGTATCCGGCAAAAAATATTTCGTCTCAATGGTATTTAATATCCGACGCGATGAAAGACCACCGACAGACAGAGAAAATGTATGATTTACTTTTATTTATCATTTATTTGTATGAATTGTAAAACAAATTACTATTTTCGATTGTGAGAAGTAATATTTTCTGCAACCGTTCCAGATTAAACGAGAAATAAGAAAAAAATGCACGTCAATATGATGACTAGAGTGAACATTACCTCGAATTTGTTTTATTTCTCATTAAATTGTGCACATTAATTAATATTGTACGGAAAGAAACATACGGAAAGAAAGATCGATATATGGAGATAACAGAATAAGCTACTTTGAGCACCTCGATATTTGTATATTTATGCATTGAACGAAAGAAACAGGCCATGTCAAAATGAAAGGACCTGTTTTCTCAATATTTTTGATAATATAAAGACCCTGTTTTGTTTAGTTTTGAAACCAGAAATGTATAAAAAGCAGCACGGATCTGAACATTTTCCGTCGAAAGAAATTTTTTATACTAGTATATGATAGTGTGTTAAGATATATTTTCCTGGGAAACTTTTCGAAATAGGGAGTAAACACATGTTGCGTTATCAAAACGTTACTATAAGCATACCTTATTGCACTTAACTACGAACTAAGTTGCAGCGGAATACAAATACTTCATAGCACTTACAATAAATTCTGACATTTCAAGATCAAAATTGTCTGTATATACTAGTATGAGGGTCTAGATAGGGGGTCCTTCATTTCTCTATTCTTTATACTTTTTGACCATTATTCTCTATTTTTTATATTTTAGCACCTCATTATTCTCTATTCTTTATATTGTTTGCCCATTATTCTCTATTCTGTAAACCCCCATTCACACCCTCTAGTATGTAATGGAGACATCATTGAATCTGTATTGTAAACGCGCGATTGGCGCTCGAGGTTGTATCTTTCCTATGATAACGTTCACTAGAGTATGTATGTAAGGTAAGATAGCTTGATTTTACGGGTATTTTGTTAAGTTTCTTTTTTGGAGGGGGTGTAGGGGAGGGGGTAAATTTGGTCCAAAACTTAACTTGGTTATAAGATTACGATTTTCAAAGAATGTATACTAGTAAACCATATTGTTAAACATTTATAACGCCGTCCAAAATATTTCGAATGACAGGAATGTGACACAATTGAGTTAGCAGACAAATCATTTCATGAGCTCATTCATGATATCTGTTACAGCTTTAAACAACACCAACGTCACAATGACCAATGAACCATGAAAATGAAGTCAAGGTCAAATGAACCCTGCTAGAAAGACATATGCACCATACACTAAATAGAGTTGACATATTACTTCAGTATCAGAGATACGGACTTGACAAAGAAAATTAACCTTGATCACCGATTCATAAAATTAGATCATAGTAAGCTGAACCTGTCTGACGGACAAGTAAAACTTGCAAGGGCCCTATATATCAAATATAGATATCCTATCAATCATAATAAGTGTGAAATTCACAAAATCAACTATGCAATTTTAGACAGTCGCACAATCATGAAAATGAGTTCAATGACAATGGACATAAGACAGACGAATTTCGAAACAAAAGGGATGTGTATGCAAGGTATGAAGCATTAAGACAAACTAGTATTAACTTATGAAAGGAGGTGGGAGAGAAAAAAGATTCTAAAAGTGGGAGGTGGGAGAAGGGTACCCCCTGTCCACCCCCTCACATATGGAGATACTATTACACAGTCTTTCCCCTTGTACTGTTATATTTCACAATTATGTACTTTTAATAGAAAAGTGATTAATGCGTACAGTGCTAGCAATGATTTCCCTATTATAATTTTTTGAATAAAGATAAAAGTTAAAAGAAGTACCTATATGGACCTATTCAAGTACACCTTCTAGGGTGCGCTCGACTAAAACGACTGCACTATGGGTTTTTTTTTTATTGTAAAGGTTGTTTAGGAATTTTTGTAAACAATAAACGCTAGAATAACATAGACAAACAAGTGAGTAGTCTATGTTTAAAATGTTATAACAAAAATCTCTGTAAAAAAGTCTATGAATTTTCTGTAAAAATATTTGCTTAATTCACCACAAAATTCCCATTTTCTATTAAATCCAATGAAATAATACATATCATTTGTATGAACGATGTTTCACTTTGGTATATGTATAAAATGGCTTTTCTCTTTTATTTCGTATTTTTGGCTGTTTTCTTTTGTATTACTATACTTTGAAAATGTTGTGATACACAGGCCTACATAAGGGGCCATAAACCTTAATAGTCCTACGTAGGGGTAAGAAGATTTTTCAACGCATTATTGTGATCCTTGGACCGCATGATAATTTTCAAGGGAAATTATGCATACATATATGTTCAATATTTTGTGTTCAAGATATATATTTTCAAACTATCATAGATGAGATTATCCTCCTCCCCTATGTCGAGAAAAATATTTACATATTGTTGTTATAGAAAATCACATATCAAACGTCTTCAAATTGCGAGGCTGTACACTGAATTCATACCGAAAAACGTATAGAGAGTTGAGAAAATCAAATTGAGTTACATTTTGTATTTGGATTTTGCCGTTAAAGAAAGGCAGAAATAACCAAAGGGATAGTCAAACTCATAAGACGAAAACGTACTGACAAAATAAAAAAAAAAAAATCGAACAAAAAACAAACAATAGTCTTTCAAACACGACACAGAAAAACAAAAGACTTATAATCATAAACCAATAAAAACAACCAGCTGTAATCTAAGGTGCTCCGGAAGGATCAGCAGATCCTTCTCAAAATGTGGCACCCGTCGTGTTAAAATTCATTTTCATTTTCACACACTGCGAAGTTCAATTATTCTTATTTTAGAAGCAGGAATTCAAGTTTTACGGATTCAAAAAAATAATAATTTGTCCCCTTACAGAAATCGTTTTTGCAACGAGCCACTAATCGCCTTTTGAACGTCAGATTTTAATTCATATAACACAAGTATGCATTATTTTCAACGAAACTGGTCCTGCTTTGTGGAAATTTAGGACCAAACCGGGTCGTACACATTAACAAAACCGGGTCCTTTCATTTTGAAAGGACCCATTTCTTTCGTTCCATACATAAAAATAATAAGGTGAAAAAGTGGTTAAAAAGTGGTTAATCTCGCAATCTTTATGTATATATCTTTCTTTCCGTACGTTTCTTTCCGTTCAACGTTCACAATTCCATGAAAAATTAAACAAATTCGAGGTAAGGTTCACTCTAGTTATCATTTGGACGTGTATTTTTTTCTTATTTTTCTTTTAATCTGAAACGGTTGTAGAAAAGGATACCCTGTTTTGTTACACTTTTATTTTTTATAGGCACTAGCTTCCTGTTGGATAGAAATTAAAGGTCCGTGTTCTTGGTTTTGAGATATAATCAATTGCAAATTGAGCGATATATAATTGGCTCTAAATTTTCATACATTTTACATTGGCACCTTTATTTTTTTTCAAAAACTATGAAAAAAAACAAGGATTTCATAAGATTTTCAAAAATATCTCTTTAAACTATATGTAATAAAATAATGATAAGAAAAGTATGGGTTAGCGAGCAAAATTTGTATTGGCCCTACATGGATCAAATAGAGGATTCCGAATATCTAACAAAAAGTCACAAAAAATAGTAGCGAGCATCCTCCATGAGATCATTTAATTGTTTTTTCTAGACTAAGTAAATTGGCAGGTCAAAAGCTGACGGAAGGGAATCCAGCCATCACTGATCTTGGTAATCCTAACAGGCCTGCTAAAATTGGAGAACGTTGGGCTTCGTTGTATTCAGATGAATGGACAGATGTCTTTGAAGAAATCATTCAAAAGAACGAAAAAATGGAAAACAAAGATGAAACACCAGAGAAACAACTATTAAATATTGTAGATGTAATTATAAGATTATTGTTACATCTTATCAGTTTGAAATAAATATGAAAAGACCTTTCATAAAACGACGAACTCCGATTGTAGTATCATATCATATCAAGCAATTTAGACAGTGAAAATAACAACTATGTATTCGAATACGTCCACTTATTCTATATAATTAGTTAATACGGTATGGGTTTTACTCATAGTTGCAGCCCGTGCGGTGACCTATTATAGTTGTTTACATCAACGTCATGTTGACTCTGGTGCATATAGTTATCTCATTGTCAATCAAACTACATCTCCGTATTTTCATAAAAATGATTTAACTAAGTTTGTTTTAAATGGATAAATATGTAAAGCAGAACCCCAATATTATTTGGATCACAGCCAGAGAAACTAATTTTTTTTTTCATTTTCTTTCAGTGGTGTTATAAGCAATGTACTGAAATATTCAATTCACAGACCACGACAGTGCATGAAAAAGTATGGGAACTAGCAAGCATACTTCATCTTCCTAGAGTAAAAGAAATAACATTCAAAAAGGTGAATTTCTATCGTCATTTATTGATAATTTCTTTAAACTGTAAACTAGAACACACCGCGAAACCGCGGGAATTTAGAGCGTGGTTGAAAGTATGATTTTTAGTGATGTGTTTCCAGTTAAATGCTAGAAAAATTTAGGGTACATATGTAGGTAGGTGATATTTGGTTAGGCAAATCTGGGCATTTGCTGGGAAAACATAATCATTAATTTGGCATAATTAAATTGACAGCTGGTGAATGAGACAAACAAACCTAGTTTGTTCAAAAAGAATGTCAACGCAAAGGTAAACTATTTGTAGTAACATGAACGCACAATTTTTAGGAGGCGAGTTGCTTTGTCTCTTGGGATATTGCGGGAAATCACATTAAACTTGACATTTTTTCAACTAATAACCGTGTACAAGGGTGTAAGCGACATATACTTTACAATAGAAAAATACAAAATAATCATTAATTTGGCACAAATAAATTGACAGCTGGTGAATAAAACAAACAAGTTTGTTCAAAAAGAATGTCAACGCAAAGGTAAACTATTTGTAGTAACATGAACGCACAATTTTTAGGAGGCGAGTTGCTTTGTCACCATGCTTTTTGTTTCGTTGTCCGAAGACAGAATAATCGATATGTTAAACTTTTCAATTTCAGTCTCTGGAAACGGATTCCACTAATGAAATCGGATAATTATGTGATATTTGCAAATAAGATTGAAATTATGAATAGAGCCATAATAAAGTACTCAATAAACAATACGATTTGTGCACAAAACCGTCATATTTTACTGAAATCTGGAAATGGCGTCAGAATTAATAAGGTGTTGACTTTAAAGAAAGCAAATTAATTCTAATATGGGGTGCTTATTACGTCATATGCATAGAGTCATAATAAAATATTTAATAAACCACAACCACTCAGTATAAATCGACGACGTCACAATGCGATTTCTTTTTCTTCTTCCCGGTTCCGAGTCGAACTCTGTATTCAAGTGTAATTGACTCGGGCGCATCTCAAACAGACAGGAGGCCACTCCTCTGGCCAAAAGTAAAAGTCCAGGAAAAACTGGATGGTAGTTACAATAAAATATTAGGCTTAATTACAACTACGTACACTGGTTATCCTGCTGTCTATTTCAGATGTGGCTGGGTCCAGGAGATGGTGTTCACTTTGGCCCTGAAGTCCTCTAGTGATCCGGACTCCACTACAGATTCGGGGAGTTTATTCCACTCTCTAGTTGTTCTTGGGAAGAATGAGTGATAATATATATCCCTCTTCACTCTAGTCTGTCTAAATTTGTGGTTGCCCCTGGTCCTACTGTCACCTGATGTATAGTATTTGGCCGGATCAATGGCAATTAACTGGTGTTGCGTCTTGTAACACAGCACAAGACCCTGTTTTCATCATCTGTGCTGCAGTGATTCCCATTGAAGTTGGTCCAGTAGCTTTGTAACGCATCCAGGAGAGTTGTCCTGGTAGCAACTGTAGACAAAGCGAACTGCTCGTCTCTGTACCTGCTCTATGTCACGTATGATGGTAATTTGGTGAGGATCCCATACTGTGGAAGCATATTCTAGGGTTGGTCTTACTAACGTGGAGTAAGCTTTAGCTTTTGTTGCTGGCGTACACCTACCCATATTTCTCCGTAAGAATCCAAGTGTCTTAGAGGCTTTCCCTTTGGTCTGGTTGATGTGATTTGACCAGGTGAGGTCTTTGGTGATGGTGAGTCCAAGATATTTCCCACTGTCTACTGTTTCTAATGTGTGTCCATGGAGTGAGTAGGACGTCTGGTGTTGTTGACGTCGTCCTGAGACACGGATGACTGTACATTTTTCCGGGTGGAAACAGATTTGCCACTCCTTTTCTCATTCTTCCAACGAGGAAAGATCTCCCTCCAGCAAGTCTGCATCTTCTGGTTTCCTGATGCGTCGGAAGAGGAGACAGTCATCGGCAAACAGTCGAGCGCTTGATGGTGTTGCTTCTGTGAGGTCGTTGATGTAGGCAAAAAAAGAGTAAGGAACCCATCACAGTGCCAAGGGGTACTCCAGATGCCACGTTAAGAGGGTTAGACTTGTGATTTTCAAGAATCACAGACTAGGTTCTATCCATTCGAGTTGGATATCTCTTACTCCGTAATAGTCCATTTTTGAAGCAGTCTGGCATGTGATACCTTATCAAAATCCTTGGCGAAGTCTAACAGGATGATGTCTGTCTGGTCGCCGTCCTCCATGTTCTTGGCTATTTCATGTATGGTTATTAGCAGCTGGGATTCTAATGATCGTTTTGTTCTGAACTCATGCTGTTCGTAACATAGTATGGTGTTTCGGTCAAAGTGGTCCATGATAGTACTATGGACTATGTGCTCTAGTAGCTTACATGTGATCGATGTCAGGGATACTGGACGGTAGTTTGCTGCTGAGTGTTTTTCGCCTTTCTTAAAGACTGGGATTATGTTGGCTGTCCTCCAATCTTCTGCTACTGATCCCTGATCCATTGACAATTGGTATAGTCTAGTCAGGTAAGGTGACAGGTGTTCAGCAGTATTCATTAGTATGAAGGCTGGTGCGTCATCTGGGCCAGTTGCCTTAAAATGTCTTAGTCCTGTTTAGTGACTCCGTTCTGGCTTATTTTTATTGGTCTCATGGTTAGATATGGGCTTGGCCTTTTATCTGGCATGTTGTTAAGGTCTTCCTGAGTATAAACTGAATGGAATTGGCAGTTTAGGATAGCGGCTTTTGTTGGTGTGACACTGTGGAGGTATCCATCTTTATTTTTCAGAGTTGTTATGTCTGAAGATTCTTGTTTCCTACTTTTTATGTACGACCAAAATCTTTTTGGGTTCTTGTGTAAGTCTTAACTAAAAATATCTTGCATACATTTGGTATGTGCTGGTCTAGACTCACGTTGAAGTTCAACTTTGATGTTTTTATACCGCTTCCAGTCCTTTGGTGAGTTGGTGTGTTTTGCCTTGGAGTAAGCTCTTTGTTTCTGTCTGCTCATTCGTCTAAGGTGGATTTGTGCACAAACATGCCATATTTTACTGAAATGGCGTTAGAGTTTTCAGTGGAGAACTTTACCAAATTAGAATCAAAATAATTCATGCATTCCATAGATTTGTTTCCATTTTCACATGGCCTGGGTCGTTATATTTACCAAAATTCTGTTTAATTTTAAACAGTCCTAAACGGAATACTTGTCTATGACTTAAAAGTCCGTCCAATGACGGAAACAATATCCGGACGCCTTTACACACAAAATGAGGTATTCTCATTTAAATGTAAAAATGATGTGAAGTCAATTGAGCAATTATGAATATTGTAATTGCATTTTTGCAATTTTTCAAATATCAAGTATGTCTGGTTAATTTTAAAAACATCGTAAAATAATCTATCATGGTTTCCATGTAATTCTGCAAGTCACGGTACGTATAGTGTCCGGCTGAGATCGTGTTTTTTCGAGTGAATCGGTCCACTTTTTTCGAGTGTAGATAAGATTTTTTTCGAGTGTAGATCAGATTTTTTTCGAGTGATATCACATGCGATCAAACCTATTTATTGCTATTTCGTTTGTTACTTAGTATAACGGTTTTATTAATGACTGTCTTACTCTGAATACTACACACATTTTGAGCACAAACTATGCACAGTTTCCTTGAATTTCACTTAAAATTCAGCGTTTTACTTTATCCGTGTTAGTTCGAAAGCAACATTTAAAACGTCCAGGTTTTTTAATAAATGGTCCGGGTTTTTCAAAAAAAATGTGAATAAGAAAGAAGACATTTTTAACATTTAAAACTGATTTTTTTTTCTAGTTTATAACTATTTAAGTGAAGAATAATATCATATATTCCAAATAAGTCACAAAAATATATTACATTCTTGATCAAATTTAACCATTTTCGAAATTATGCTCATCTTCTGTACTGAAAACATTAAACAATAATCTAGCAATACATGTATTACGATATATAACAAATCATTTGGTCTTTTTTAAAACAGTCTTTAGAACCGAGTGCAAGAATTCATAATCTTTCCAATTTCATTTCATACTACTTTTGTTTATACATGTACAGCCAATAATATTTTATGATTGATATATATTACTGTGGCGAACCTCTAAGTTTTAAAAATATTTAAATGATAACTAAGGAATAGCAGTAAAAAATCGGAAAGTCAATATAAACACAACAATTATTCTACTAAAAGCCTTATAGTATGTGTTCACCTCACAAAGATAAATTGTCAATTTTTTTGTTCTTTTAATTTCTGATGGAATAGAAGCTATGATGTTGCTTCATTTATGTGTGACCAAGCATAACATACGTTTGATCAGACTCATCTTCACAGTAGAAGCGTTTGAATATTGTTCTTGTTTTCCATTTCTAGATTAGTAACTGAAACATTTTGTATGTATTTTTCTGTTGAAAAAACAAACATTTACTCGCTTTACACACTATGAGTACATACGTCTCAATCCAACTTGTCTGTGCTCACATAGATTGTTTACATCACGAAGTATTTACTGTATGTAAACTATACCGGTTCACTCGATAAAACATGGATTCACTCGAAAAACACGGATTGCTCTCGAAAAAACACGGAAATATAAAAATGAATTTACTCGTCAATACAATAACAAGAATTTTGTAAAATATCTGTATATCTAAGTATATATAGATTCCATGTATGCATTTCCTTTGACATTTGCATTGGTATGTGCATAAAAATTGCCTTAAACTATATTTTGGAATAAAGCATTGTAAGGCTAAATTAAACGTTTTTAAAATAAAAAAATGTAGGATTGATATCTTTTTATCACAAATACTCATTAACCTTGTATGGTCTCGTATATTAGGTTCTAGCATCTTTTTTACGTCTTACTAGGATGGATGTCTGTTTGTTTACATTTTTGATCATATTCACTCGAAAACACACGATCCTAGCCGGACAGTATACAAACTGTTTAAGTGTAATGGACGTTTAATCACAACCGCAGTTACACATATTTGTAAAATAAAAAAGTATCAAAAAGCGGATGTCTAAAACCAATACCAAACGTTAGAATGCACTCGACATATCATCTTCTGAAACAAAATACATGGCTTAAAAGTTATGGTTAACTTCGGCAAATGTCTTCTGTTCGACTTAAATTTGTGGAAAATAAGACCATATAAGGAGAAGAAGCTTAAGAGGCACTAGTAATAAGAACTCTCGTAGTGATATATGGCTAGTAGTATGATCTTTCGTAGCCATTTAAAAGATTAACAAACACAAAAATGTCAATGAGATACCCAGCCCCGCTCGTGCTATGACGCTTTCACGTTTCAATGGTCTTTGAACCGTAACACCAGTTCAAAACAAAATATGGCACATAATTGGAAAATTCACATCTTTATTTACATAACTATTTTTAATTAATAAATTAACCGGAGAATGTCCTGGTTCTTCACTATCACACTTCAATGTTCAATGAATTGTGAATTTGGGGTCAAAAACGTATAATCTACAAAGTGCACATCCTAATAAACATGCGTACCGGTACTAAGTTTCAAGTTAAAGTGAGAACAACTTCATGGTACATTACCTTAATCAAAAGCTTAACCCTGATGCATGGCGGATGCACAGACTGATTAAAGAACGGACGCAAGCACAGGCCATAGAACATAATGTACTCGTCAGTCGTAATAGCAGCTTATAAATATGTATCCAGTGTGGTACACTAGATCTAAGTCTGATTGCTGAACATTGTATGTTAAGATGTGCCAGTTCTCATCTGAAAACGGTATTGATCATCCTAGCATATAAGTGCTAGACAAGCAAAAACAAATTTGGCGTCACCTCTTTAATTCAGCACGTATATATTCATGTACAATAGCTATCGGTCGTAATGATTAACAACACATAATCTGTAGTCTAAAGTTGAGGCACACAGACATGTTAAATATTAAAAGGTGCAAACGTTGTTATTTTTTCTCCTACCAACCTTGCTTGTAACAAATTTTAAAACATTTGAAATGTAATTCAAGGCATTTGTGTTGCAATTTCTTGGTTATAAACTTTTCAAAAGATAATAGAAAACATACCAATTATCATCTCTCACAGTCAAAGGATAAAAAAATGAATGTTGAGACCAAAAAGCTAGCTTTCATCCACGATTAAGGTCAAGGATAAATAGCACACGTGATGATATTTGCCACACTAACTATCACATAATTTTCACATATCTAGAACCATAATGTATCTGCAAATATAACAAGGCTCTTGCACAATCAAGATTATTTACAAGACAAGTACAAATATTTGACCTCGAGGTCAAATTCATATGAAAAAAAACCAGTTAAAATCCTGTGCTTTTTAGAAGAGCCGAAGACAATAGAAAAAAGATGTAGCAACTATACAGTTATTCTATGGCTGAGAAGATCTGAATTTCTAGATAATAAAACTGTGTGCAAAAAAGGATTTTCAGTGTTGAAGCCTTCACACAGGAGTTTTCGGGGTCCAAACAATTACGGCAAAACGAATCGAACTTCATATCGCGAAAATCTAAATCCACGTGTAAAAATGTCTCAAGTTTGAAACGAGCTATCAAACAAATATATCAAAGTTTATGGAAAGAGAAACTGACGAAAATGCTACTATTACCACCTATAGTACCTTAAAAGAATTTGAAAATGCAATATTATCATTACGAAAAGAACATTTTCTGTGTTATTGAACGTTGTCAACTATAGATTATCATTTTAATAGTACAAAAATGAAGATTCTGATCATTATAGAATGTAATTATCTTTGAACTTAGTCTTACAAGCCATATATTTTTTTTTTCTCAAATTTGTTACAATGTTACTTGCTAAATTTTACACATTGCTTCAGCTAGGGCAGGTAATGGCACTTATTTTAATGGTTCATTCTTTAATATAATTCTAATCGTTATGAAAAGAATACTAATTTTCATATATAGAATCAACGAATCAATGCATATGACCAGAAAGGGAAAGAAAATGCAGTTTTGATAGAATCAATTGAGTCATTTCTTCAGAATGCAAAAGAACAACGGCAATGTAGTTCTACATTGGTCGATTCAGTTAAGAAGGTATGTCTTAAATTCTCGCAACAGCTTATTGTTGTTTTACCTGTGGTACAAACTGCCATAGATATAAAAATAAGAAGATGTAGTATTTTTGCTAATGAGACAACTCTCAACACGAGACCAACAATGAACAAAACCCATACCACATAGTCAGCTATAAAAGGCCCCGAAATGACAAATGTAAAACAATTCAAACGAGAAACTAACTGCCTGATTTATGTACAAAATAATCAACGAAAAAAATAGAGACCATTTGACAAAAACATGAAGTCAAAGATATATTGATTAATAATTCAAGTAATTCACTGATAACAAAATGTGGTCTATTTGACATTTTTCCTCGATTCACTCGTATGTTTTTGTATTTAAATGTTATATATGTTTTTCTCCTTTTTCAAATTAATTGTATTTGTTTATTTGTTTGAACTTCAGATATGTTGTGATGACTATGGCTCATCAAACCAAACAACATCGGGGAGGGAAAAAGAGTTCGTACGAAAATGTTCAGAACTGTGCTGGTACATGATTTCTGCAGATCCACCGATGGTAATTGAGTACGAAAACTTTGAAAATATGTTAATGGATTCCAATAAATTCAACAAATACAATAGAACCGGAACAAGTGTTGAGTATGTCGTCTGGCCTGTTCTTCTCTTACACAAAGATGGCCCAGTTTTAGCTAAGGGATCGGTTCAGACGAATTTCGGACCCAAAAATGATAGAATAGCTGCTAGAAAGAAGTCTATTGAAAATCTCCTTGCACCACCATTAGCATGCAGATCAATTTTCAGCGATGACCATGTAACAATTCCAAACCAAATTAACAACAACAATTATACAAAAGGTGAAAGTATTCATGTTCAATTGAAAACTGAAAAGACTTGCCCTGACCAGTCAGACCGAACCGTTTATGTAATTGACTCAAAAGTTAGTTCACAAAAGGACCAATCCATTTTACAAAATAAAGGAAAACCAGATGATGACTCTGATATTAGTGGTTCTGGAACATTAAAACAGTCAAACAGTACATACGATATCCGGGTAGTCACTGGGGCTTTTGCAGAGAACGTTTCAAACATTGAATTAACCGAGGACAAGGTAACAAAACAGCGCATGACAGGTTCTGAAGTTGTTGATGGAGGAGTTTCTAAATCCGCGAAGTTAGATCACAGTCGTTCTAGAGATTTCAATGATGCTCAGTACAAATCTCGCGTAGATCAAAGAACAAATGTTTCGTCAGTCTCATTAAGGAATGAGAATACCAGTGCATCGGGAGAAGAATTATCAACAGACAATTCGAAATCTGATTTTGGAGAAAAACCCATTTCGAAATGTGTAGAGTTCATGAAATCAGAAGAGAATGTGGTTCAATCGATTGACGGTGATAAATACAATGCAAATTTCTTACTTCACAACAAACGGAGACAATTGCAGAAATCACAAAGCATGACTGAAGAGCTTGATAAAGAAACTAAACAAAGATATGCACCAAATTGTGACAATAAAACAAACACATTTAATGGTATAAACCGTACGGTGTCGACATCGTTTATTGGGCATCCAGTCTTGAATGCAAACATGTTGAACACAAAATACTACGGCAAACCTGAGAATCTAGTAGATGGGATTCCAATCCATACAGACACGCTTAAAAGAACATTTGATAAAGTGGCCAAACGAAGCAAAATTCCACAACAATTTACTGCGGGAAAAGAGCAAACAAAAACGTAAAATGTAATGTTTGATGCATTTTTGCTACCAATAAGATGTTGCATATTATTTGTCATGAACAACAATTTTCAAAATTATGTACTTGTTCATTAGTAGATATGTTGCTATCCTAAAATACAATGTAGACACAACGATGTGATTTGTTTTTCTAGCAAATGCAAATGTTGATGCAATATTCATGATATTGATCTTTTATTAAATTGTTTAGATATGCAGTGCAAAACTACTCTAATAAAGAGTCTTTCTACCAAGTGTTTGACAATCAATAGTCAATTATTTCTTCAAGGACCATTTGCAGAATGAATTTTTTCCAAAAAATGTACGTGTACAATATATGAACGTTGACCATTTAGTAATATACTTTGAAATTTATATAAAAATAAGGAGATTTAGTGTGATTGCCGATGAGACAACTATCAATCAAAGTTCAAATGAAGTGGATGTAAGCCATTATAGGCAACCTTATAGGTACGGCCTTCAACAATAAGGAAAAACCTATACTGTATAGTCGGCTATAAGAGGCCCCGACATGAAAACTATAAAACAATTGAATTGAGAAAACTAACGGCCTAATTTATAACAAAACTATTTACAAAAAGCAAATATGACAGACATGAACCAACGACAACCACTGAACTAGAGGCTCCTGACTTGCGACAGACAAATAAAGAATGTGGCGGGGTTAAACATGTTTGTGTGCGCTCAACCCTCCCCTTGCCTGGGACAGTGGTGTAACAGCACAACATAAGAACAAACTATAAAAATCAATTGAAAAAGGCTTAACTCGTCAGATCGACACAAAGAAAAAATATCAAACAAAAACTCAGACCTGACGTGGCAGGGTATATATCTATCTCTCATTCATATCAACAAAAAAATCTGAGAGTACTCGCAGTAACTGAGAGTGAGTTCAAATCAATAACAACTAATTAAAACAAATCATGTATCTAAGACTAAATATCAATCAGTGCACATCCAACATCCAATGGATTTAGTGTAAAGACGTCATTAACAGTCAGAGAAAAAAACATGATCTTGTGCAATGCCAAAATATAGGTATCGACAGATTGTAGTACCGTAAGCACATATGTGTAATATTTAGTATGGTTTTAATTTACTGATAACAAAATCAATATTTATACCAATAAAAAGTTAAAACACAAAAATACTAAACTCCGAGGAAAATACAAAATGGAAAGTCCCTAATCAAATGTTTAAATCAAAAGCACAAACACATCAAACGAATAGACAACAACTGTCATATTCAAAATACAATATTCTAAAATTTAATTACAGTGTTGAACAGGTAACCTTTTATAATAAGTTTTATTTAAAGGATTGATAAGTTTACCCGGATCGTATCTAATTTCCGGGCTCGGTACACAACATCACCATAAAAGGATGAGCTATTCCGTTTGAAATAAGTTTTCTACAGGTACAGTCAAACTAGCAAACCAAATCTTTGTATGTATGGAAGAATTTAGTAAAGGTTTTAAGTAATTTGTGTTAACGAAATTCCTGACTTAATAATTTACAAGTAATGCATAGATAACGCTCATTGAAATCCAAAACGTCACTACAGACACGAGCATAGCGAACGAGTTTGGATATATAAACACCGTAAGACGGTGCCAAAGAAACATTACCGTCCAAAAAAGAAAAAAATAACAATAGGGAAAGAAAAATCATCCCTTTTGTTTTAAATTTTTGTGTAGAGTTTCTGGTGTAATAGTGAAATATCTAAATCTGGGAAAGGACAGTTATTGCTGTTAATACCTGATTTATTTAAAGTAAGTTCCTTTGGGAACAATTTAAGCAGTATATTTAGAGATTTCTTTATTATTTAACGAAAAATATCATCAAGATAACAGTAAGTGTTGTTGAATTTATCAATTAAATGGAATTTAGATGTTTTTTTACTAAGTTTGGCCATAAACTGTGATTCATAACAGAATAGGAACAAGTCTGCTATTAAAGGGACACAATTGGTGCCCATAGGAAAACCTACAACCTGTCGATAAACTTTATTGCCGAAACGTACATGAATGTGTGAAGGTGGGCTTTAATCATCTCATCACACTTCCTGTAAGTATATCTAGCATATTTACCTTTTTCATTGGAGAAAAATGTTTTATATGAGTTGCAGCAAATAAATTTGCAATCAGATTTATCAAACGATCAATTAATTAGATAGGAAAAATTTTGTTTGATAAGATTGTGTGGAAGTGTAGTACAAAGAGTGGAAAAGTCAAAACTGTCACCCGAATCAAAAGTACCATCAAAAGCACGTAATTTATCTAAAACATCCAAAGATTTTTTTACACTCCAGAAACGGTTAATTCCACTATTTTCATATGTTTTATTACAAAAATTAATGGTAAATTTTAAGATAGTGGTTAAGGAACTCGTTAAAAGCACCGAAAGATTAGTAGTAAAACACTTAATCCTAGAAATGGGCGTTTTACTTACTCTTTTATTCATTTCTAAATTATTTTTGAAATGTTATATGCGAATATCAACAATATTCAGACAATTATTTAAATAGGAATCAAGTGACTTTTTGTCAGATTTCTCCCATTTACACCATTTTTTACAATAGAATAAAAGATCATCTTTAATAACCGGACGACACTCTTCCCAATTTATTTTCGACGGAGGACGATATTTTGGTCCTTTAATCAAAAAGTTTATATCCTCTCGGTCTTGAGCGATGTTGATGTCCCCTGTAATAACATGGCCATATGGATCATATCTAAACTTCGATGATTCACAGTCTCATGTTGAAGGAGCATTATTTTCTGTACTGACGTCTCCTGTAACTGACGTATAATTAAAAATTAAACTTCTACTGGTTTTTTTTTTATACGAGTAAGAAATTACAGGTGGTTCAATGTTATCAAAATATGGAGGAATAAAATTTTGAACAGAAGAGTTATGAAAAACACTAGACAAATTAATAAAATCTACACCTCTATTTGTGTATTTTAATTTTAGAAAATACTTTTTATGATCTTCAGGTTTGTCAATTTGAGGGAACAGTCTATACTTACAAAAAACTGTAATCATCCGTGTACACTCATATTTTAGACTAAAAAACGATATTGTGTCACACTCGTTATAAATATTATATAATTTTCTAATTGGCATTTGACCCAGTTTGCATGATAATTGATGTCTACCATTATTTTCAAATATAGATAAAAAATCATCATGTGTAAAATTAGAACGATGTTCATTTCGTTGATTGCAGTTAATGCGATTGCCATGAGACCTATAATTGCGTTAATTTGTATCAACAATAGTCATGATATCAATAGAGGAAGTTTTAGATAATGTTCCTTTGGCCCATGATGTTGTCATTTAGACCAAGGGGATACACTGTCTGTAGTCGTTTAATCCAAATAAAGGCAACAGTAGTATACCGCTGTTCAATAGTCAGATTTTTTTGAAACAAATCCGGGTCACAAACCAAAACCGAGGGAAGTACATCAACTATAAGAGGAAAACAACGGAACAACATAAACACTGAACTGCAAACGCCCATATACATAGAAACGGACTATTTGATAACAATTGCCATATTCCTGATTTGCTACAGGAGATTTTAAGAAAAAAATGGTGGTTTGAACTTTTTATGGCTTTTATGGCTAGCCAAACCTCCCGCTTATATGGTAATGTTAAAAATAATGCTAAAATGATGACATTATGTGATAGGATTACATTACAACGAAACGCAAGCACACGCAGGACAGAGACATACATAAATAAATAATATAATAGTACATTACAACATGTAAACCACAGAATAACAACGGACACATCCCATTTACACCAATATAGAATTATGCGTCACACGAATGTATCAAATGAACAGGACAGTTCGCAAATTTTACGGGAATCTTCAAACTGTTTATGTTATTGTCCTGGTTGTTTATGGACGGTTTGAAGTGGTTGAAATTTGATTAATTTAATATTGTGTTTGTGTATATCTAATTGTTGGTAAATTAAACTATTGAATGTCTTGGGTCTGCGGAAGGGGTATAGATGTTCTTGTGTTCATTTGAAAAATTCACGTCCAGTTTGCCCTACATATTGAATACTACATTGAATACTACATTTCGGTTTCGTTCATGTAACATGATATATGAGGCTTTGGGTTTTTTAAGTAATGTCGTAAGAAAAGGAGAGAGAAAAAGTTCTTCCGTTCACTGATGACCGAACGGTATTATCTGAAGATAATCTGGAGCAGGTTTGTCATTTTCTGACATTGCACGGGAAAATATGTGGATATCCACGTGCGTTTTTGTTAAACAATCTAGCTGCAGAGGCATTCCCTCCTTTAACACAATTGTGAAATGTGCTTAATTTTGAAGGTGAATTTCGATTAACGGCAGTGGAATTTTTATTAGGAACAACGCGCTGAAGTACGTCCATTATTCATTTTTCATTATTCAAAATTCAATAATGAATAATGAAATAGTTCATTATTCATTAGTGAACGTTTAGTAAGGAACAACGAATAATGAAATAGTTTATATTTCAGTTTTCAAGTTTAAAAGTGAATAATGAAATATATATTTTTGTTTAACTGTGACACCATCCCGTATTTTAGAAGTCGTCATTAACGTAATTATATTTAAATTAATATAAGAAAAAAAAATCAAAACACTCTTTGAAATTTTTATCTTTATTTATTAATTTAGTTTCGGAGGATAAACTAGTGGGTTTCCCTAACTATTTTTAACAGAAATTCCTATTTTTAATGTATGGACGACCTGAATACCAAAACATATACATGATATATAAAAATTAAAATACATTACATTGGATTTTTTTATTCTTAAAGGAACTTTCCGATCCTCCATTCCCTGATTATAGATATAACTTGTCGTTTGTGTCGCAATGCCGATTAAAGGGTTAATGGGGACCTAAATGCCAAAATACGCGTGAACATTACGAAATAGCATATTTTGAATATTGGAATGCATATTTTGAATAATGGAATGGCCTGCTGCGACCCTTCATCTTCTAATTACAGAGATACTTTATACTCCATTCGACAGCTTATCGATAGAGAAAGCAAAAGGTATATAATCAATGTGTGCCGCAATGTTTAATAGAGGGGTTACGGAGGACCTAAATGCCAAAATACGCGTGAACATTAAGAAATAGCCTTTTTGGAATAATGGAATGGACTGCTGCGACCCTTCAGTCCCTAAATACAGAGATACCTTATACATCATTCGAAAGCT